TTAAATAGAAAATATGTTATATATTTTAAATACTTGTAAAATGAACTGATATAATAATTATAATAGGAAATCTAAATTCAAACTAACTTGTTTATCTACTTTCAAAGAGACAGAAGCAATAAAAAAATTTTTTTACTGTTAATTTGCAAATTCAAAGAGTATTGGTGAAGTTTTTTAAGTTTTAGAAACGATGATGTCATGTAATTATATATAAAAATTATAATATTGTAATGTATAATTTGTGTAACCTATCTGACCAATCATATAAATGTCTTCCTATGAGATATACTCACCTCAGTTTTAGGCGAATTGACTGGACTGATTTTAGAGGAATCACCTGAAGAATTACTGTTAAGGCACTTCGCAGAGACATGAGATGAAGGAATAGGTGCAGTTGGGACACTTACCTCAGATTTGGTAGATGCATTAGTTTGATTAGTTTTCAAAATCACATGATTTTGATCATTTCCCGAGGGAATGGTTTTTGAAATTACTTAATCTATAACATTTTGACTTTGTAGGTAAGTCAATTTTGAAATCTCAGTTGCACTATATGAAACCAACTTGATTTTGTTTATTCCAATTCCATTTTTTCCAAATAATATAAAGTGTTTTCTAGCTCTAAGAGTTTTCTTGAGCAAGTTATCTTGTATGATTTTAGTAGGGAGAAATGGTTTCATCTCTTTGTAAATCATTGATCTTGCTATTTTATTTTTGATTCTATCATCAGCAGTTAGAGCATCTACCTTGCTCTCGAATTCAAGGGAATAATTGTACCAGTCTAAGATTTCCTGCTGACCAGACTTTATTGCTGTATCAAATAGATAAGACAAGTGTTGAGCAGAACCTGAAATCATATTTTCTGATCCATTGCAAGAGGAATTAGTATCGGTAGAACTGATATTGTCTTCAGTAGATATAGATGAATAGATGCCAAAGGTACCACACAGCTTTTGTATTAGTTCCTGTTCTACAATTTGATTTTTATCTAGCGATTCCTCCGGAATTAGCTCATTATTATCTTGCTTCACAAGATCTGGTTCAACTAAAGTCACATAACTCTGATCGTTCCCTAAGGGAACGGTTTTTTTGAACTCTTAAGAAATTTTCAAAATTATTTGATTGTCTTTTCCAGAGTTGTATGATGGGCTGGCAACTATCAGGTCCTGAACAATCGATTCACGTTGAAGTTTCTTTTTCTGATTTCTCTGCCTAATCTCATTACTAACCTTTTTCTTATCCTTCTCATCTAAGAAAGCGCACATTTTCTTATTTTCAGGTAATGAAGTATCTACTAATGGTTTCTCATGTTGCATTACTGTAGGCTCTACAACCAAATTGAAGTTAGATGAACTGATGTTAGAAGAATTATCATTTACCGTTAAGACGCTTTGCAGAGTCTGCTTCTGTTTCACTTTCGTGAGTCTATCTCTAAACTTAACATTCTCGGCCCTGAGTTTGGCATTTTAGCATCACACATCTCATTATATTCCGCATTTGCTCTTAGAGCCTCAACATTCATACGCTTATGTTCAGCTATTTCAGCATCAGACACTGAGAGCTTGAATCTAAGATCAGAGATCTCAGTAATCTTCTTCCTAAGCTCTGCATTCTCCTTCCTGAGCTTTGCAATCACAACATTCTCAGCCTCAAGTTCAGTGATACGCTGTTTCAATACTTCAAGCTCAGATAACATAATTATTAATATTATTTTTTATATGATAGGAAATATTCAATATTATGTGTAAAAATTTTTTATTAATACATGCGAAAAATAAATACAAAGATCGGGACTAGCCTATGATATATATTATTTTTTGATAATTTTTTTGACTATAGCCCTCTTACTAGCTGGAGAACTATCTACACTAACACGATCCTTTAACAATCCAACAATTATACAAATTACCCTTTTTATGTTGCTTCTAAGTAATTCAGGATTTTTTTTGATGGCGGATTTTGTAAGGTTAATCTGATATTCACTACCATTTGTACAGTAAATTCCGTCTGGAGTATATATTATAAAATGCCACTCTGTCCCTGTGGTCACAATGCTATAAAGATAGTTAAAGTAATCTTCATTAAATGCTTGATCCACAGTTTATTTTTTCTTATTTGTTTGGAACGTACTTTTAGGTTGTGCCAGATTCTAAGAAATAAATCATCATTAATATCTCTAATATGTTATAAAGCAAAAATGTAGATAGTAGAATCACCTGTGCATATCCAATCTTAATATTTTGTGGTTTCCCTTCAGTGATGCAGAGGAGGTCTTCCAGACTTTTGATTGCATAGTCTACTCAGCCTGTTACTTTCTTACCGGAAATGTCCTTTTGAAATACTATAAATATATCTTGGGAGGTAAGTTTTTTAGCTATAGTGATGGATGTATGAAGAATCGATGAAATAAATTCACAGTGCGTCACCTCGTTGGTGTCAATCATAGTTTTCACATTTGAAAGTTTTAAGATAATGTCTTCCATACAGTATTCAAACGCCTTATCATCATCACTAATTTCCTCAAAGACTGCAAAGAAAAATAAGTTAATATATATAATATCCCAATCTGAAAAATTAAGAGAGTAATCACATACCAGAAGTAAACTGCTTGATGTTTGTTATATCCTTCCTATTGACCTTATTTTTGCATAACATTTCCTTCAGGTCGTCGAGAGTTTTAAGCGAGGAATAGTTTCATAACTTCTGGCTAAGACCTTCGATAAAGTTTACAAGTCTTGTTGCTAGGCATCCTTTCATGCCAAAGCATTCAAGTTTTTCTTCAGTTAGCTTAAGAAAATCAAGATCAGCAATTTCTTCTTTTTGTAAAATTTTAAAGTGAGGCTCCTTAAGTTTCTAGTCTTTCTTTTTCAAATATTCAATAAGCTCTTCTGTATCGAAATCCTTAACAACGTTCGACATTGTTCTAGTGGAAATTTCGTCTGTTATTGAGGCAGGTGAAGCGGGTAAATGAGCTTGTGAAGAAATAGTTTTATATATGTGAGTTTGTGCTTGCGAAAAATATGCATTCAACTGCAGTTACAGGTAAAGCTAGTTTATGGATATAAAAGTATTTTTGGTTTCTGGTGTAAAATATGTCTAGAGAGAAATAAAAGAATTGATTAGCACTTTTACCCAATATATATGCAAAATTAAGATGTAATACAGAATTATCAGTGATTATATTACATCATTACACGTGACCTTTTCTCATGTACTGATAAAATAATACTTTATTTATGAAATAAATCGTTACTGGAGTCTACAACTAATACATAAAAATATTACTATATAGAAAGGTTTTAGAATCCTACGATAATATGAATTTTATCACTCATAGGTTTGACAGGAAAATGGTCAGAAATTAATTCGTATGAAAAAATTGCTAATTTTTTATCAATCTCATTTTCCTTAATATTATAATACTCAATCTGATAAGAAATTTTTGTAATTGCTCTGGTGTTAGCCTTATAAATGATAAAGCCATTCAGATCAATATTTGTGAAAAACGGTGCCCATCAATTCCTGATGATAGTCCTCAACTCGTCAAATATTTCATTTGTGATAATTTTAAGCACGGTAATACTATAGCCTGAAATATTTTTATCAGATCTGGTATAGGGGGAAAAGAGGCAATTGAGCCTAATCATTTTGGTCGTTAACCAACTCACGTTCATTTCCTAATGTAAAATCCATAATAAAAATTGTTATCTTATAGATACAAGAATACTTCAAAACATTTTGTTATAGTTAATAAAATTTTATACATACCTTATTTTCATTATTTCTCTGGGAAAGTTTTTTTTGCGGAAAGTTGGCTGAACTTTCACATGCTCTTATATGCTTTATATCTTGCTGGGAAAGTTAGGAGATATGAGGCGTAATTAGCTTTATTGTATGATGCCAAGAGTTCTATGAAAGCATATGCAAGCAGAATATTATTACCTTTTCACATGTAGATCTATCAGAGAGATATATAGCTGATCTTACGCCCAGCGATCTCGAAATTGCAAAGTTCTCAGCCCTTTATAACATATGCTTTTACCGTTACTATTAACTTATATGATATATCCTGTGTTGCAACTAGACCCCTTTCACATTTTTCTCATGTTTGTTCGGAAAAAATAAAGAACAAAGGTTAATATGTTTTCTTTTTCGAATATATGCAAAAATTATTATATCGCACAAGAGGCTGACTGCTGATCCACTTACTTTTTGTCATACAACCTGTGGCTCAGCAAAATCTTCTGAACTAATGATCAGCATATAGATCTTCAAATATAATCACTGTATCATTGCTTCGGACTATTGATCTAGCCAAACCTGGATCAGAATACTACTGCAAATTATCTCGCATACTTAGATCTAAAAGGCTCTAAAGGCTCTGAGCTAAAATCTGTTTACTAGTAACGTTGTTTTGTGTAAGATGATTTCTAACTACTCTAATCAGATCAGGAGGCGTTATAGTATTCACGAAATTCACAATATTGATATTGGGATTAAGTAAAACAAGCTGATCTATAGCTTCTTTGCTAATATTGCTATATTCTTTCAGATCGAAATATTTTAAATTAAGACATGAACAAGCAATTTCTTTGATAGTCATATCGCTAATTTCACAAAATCTAAGGTTAAGATGTTAGAACTTTGGACAGAATGAATAATATTACAAATTAATGGTTCAAGAATCTCTGTGTGGTATGAAATGTTTAGATATTCTAATTTATGGCATGACTGTGTGATTTTCCATAAACCTCCATCACCTACTTCTCAAATATGAAGGCTTATATAATTACCTGATTGATTATCACATAAATTGAAATACTTTAGCATTAGACATAATATTGCTATCGCCTCTAATGATCTATTACTAAATTCTATACTATTTTCAAAACCCAAATGAATTATATTTGGGCATGACTGCATAATGCCTATAATTTTTTCATCCTGAAGTGAATGGTAGTAGGAAATTTCAAGATAAGTTACATCCGAACAATAAACTGGCTTCTGCCTCCCATGTACTAATTTTATGAATTTTTTCAATTGAAAGCAGTCCTTTTTACAGTAATTATCTGAAAAAGATTGCCTGGGATATAAGTCATTTCTATTTAACTCAATGCGTTTTCACAAAATAGGGACACCGTATCTGTACCAAAGATAGCAAACAAATAGAATGGAATAGAGGTATTTATCTATTGCTAAGAAATATAAAATCTGTTCTAATACTTCTACTATATTAAAAATACTTGTATGTGCCATAGATAATAAATCTGTATTTTTAATCAAAAAAATAAATTCTCTAGGCTGATGACTTTTATGTATATGAAAGCAATTGTTCATGCTAATAAATGCTCCAGATTACAATGGATCGGAAAATCACTGTAAAGTAGAATTAAACTAGCAAAATTTAATAGCTATACATATCGATAATTTCAGATATTTCATTTTTTTCTGCAGTCTCTGATTCTGGCTCTGGGTTGTGGTCAGATTCAAGACTGGAGTCTTCTGATTCTGTATCGCTTATAGCGTAATTATCTCTCGCATCAAGGCGGTCTGATTCTTGTCTCAATGCAATTTTTGTGAGAAGTTTAAGATGTTAGGGGGTTGCTTTCAGGCCACCATGAATTCTGAAAACGTGCTTACTCCCATAATCTCTTAATTTTTTAGGTATGCTTTTATAAGGTTCTTGCTTTAAGAATTCATTAAATGGTCAAGTACTATGTGTCTCACTTTCAGTATAAATGGGATCACGTAACTTTTTAGCCTTAATTGCATCTTGAATCCAGATAAGCAGTTCTCTTGCGCGTTCTGGATTCTTTTCCATAGAAAGAAATGGTCGGAGGTCAGGATTCTCCTTCTTTTCTCCTTTACTCTTTAAATAGCCTGTGCAGTACCAAGAATAGCTTTCTTTATACCATGCTGGAATATTCGAAGGATCCAGTTCATAGTGATTAATTTGAAGAGATCTTACTTCTATAGGTCTCATACTCAACATTACTATCACATCCGCGAGATTCTCTCTAGTAGGAATTTTGGAAATATCCATGTTCTGAATCCTTTTACTCACATTTTCTAAGGAGAAATGTATGGGAATTCTGTTCAAATTATCCATTCGCTTTTTAGTTCATTCTTTCTGAATTTTATTAGAATCTTGAATACGTTTTTGATCTTTAGCAAATGCTTCAATAATTGCAGGATCCATCACACCTTCTGTTAACTTTACACGGAATTTTGACTAACGTGAGACGCCAGCAACAATTTCATTTTCATCATTACTCTTTGGACCCAAGCGTCAATGATTAGCAACAATGTCTATAAAATCACCGGTCTTAACACAATATTTTGCCCTTTTCTCTATGGTGAGTTTTCACTTTCTTTTGTCTGGTAGGAGAGCCTCTATTTTCTCTTTACTAAATGAACGTCAATTATTAGTACCGTTGGCAAGGGTAACTTTAACACACCTGCGGACCATCCAATCAGGAGAAAGCAAAGCATCAAGTTCAGGAGCATGTTTACTTAATTGTTCTGGGGTAAAGTCAGCTGACAAATTATACTTTTCTAGGAATTATTCCAAGATGCCGATATAGTTATTAGTTTTAGGTTTTCAGGTCTTTGGGTAGCTATTTTGGTAACCATGTCAATATTAACTATTATCTAGTTATATTATGTGAGAAAAAAGTTCAATTCGAAAAAAATATTCTGATAATTCATTACACTATAGTCAGTGGGCAAAAGAATATTATTACTTATTGCGGGCTCTCTAGCCGAAAGTTTATTCTACAAATATTTGAAAATTGCGAGTAGATAGGATAAGCAAAAAAATAATAATAATTTGGAATTATATATCGCCTAGTTGTAAAGAATGAAAGTCTCATCCCTACTAATATTTATTAACCCACTCTTATTGCTCTTTATCAAAGCATACCATTCTTCTGGAGTATGCTTATATTTTTTTGCTATTCCTCATCATCATAAATATACTTTTGGGATTTTCCCACATCCTTGAACTCCCAGAGATATATTTTTTCACTTATTAATCTTTCCTTTCTCGTCATGTAAAATAAATCATTTAGGTTCATCTTATTTTCTCTAGCAAATTCGATGACTTCTGCATCTGCCATCATCCTGTCTCGATACTCCTGAGATAAGTTAACATCTTTTTCTGTAATAATCATAAACTTATTAGGGTCTTCATCATGATCGATTACCCATTTTCTAAGACGCTCTTCACGCTAGGCTCTGGCAAATGATATTTCAATACTACTAGGTTTTGGTGCTTTCAACACTTTACTGATTTGCTCGATAGATTTTGGGGCTTATTAGTTTCAGGCTTATCGGTTACTGGCTCAGGTGGTTCAGAAATCTTAGAAGCCTCAAAAGTCCCAAATGTAGAGGTGACTGGAGTATGGGTATCTTCTGCCACATAGTCGAAAAATTCCTAAGTCAATTCGTTCTGTTTATCTGCCTTCTTATCTTTACTGGTTCTAGGTGGGGACGTATTCTTTTCTGACTGAGGTGAGATTATTTTTGGAGGAATAATTTCTGGTACATTGAATATAGGTATGTCTGTGGTCTCATTTTTGGGTAAGTCAGGTTGAGGTATATTAGAAAATTCTTCCATATCACCTAGGCCAGATTCACGAAGCTTAGCTATAATTTTGGAATAATCAAGGATATACTGATATACTCTTTCTCTATTATCCTGTGAACATGTCTGATCAATACCAATTAATGAAAACTTCTTTCCTAGAATAGCGATAGTAAATGGTTTTTCTCCATTCTCTTTACACTATTCAAGATAATTTTGATATAGTGATTTACAACTTGGCTTGGCTACTTTATCCTTACACCATGAGGGAATATGATTGATTATAAATCTAATAGGATTAGGTAGTTAGTCTCGCATTGTGTTTACTTTCATTTTAGTATTAGGAATATCTTGTGGGTCAAAATCTGATAAATCACGGTTAAGAAAATATCTCATGACTACTCCTGGTGCATTAGAATGGTTGAGTATATTTAGTAGTCTTTTGAAATACTTTGTATTACCTCTACAGTGTGCTGAGACATCAAAATATACTATACAAGAATCTCCTATATCTATCTTTAGAGGAGCGTCCTGATTGCTTATGATCATAAATCCAGAGAAATCATTTATTCTCAAAGTTTCAAGGCCTTTACATTCTATAAAGACCTTTCCTTCTATAATGAGTGATTTAAGATATTCATTAAATCTATGCCATTCTCTACTTGACATTCCGGTTTCATTCATAATAATAATGAAGAGGATTATTAAAGCGTCTAAGGATTTTTTTCAAATCTGATGTCGCGTAGTGAAGATGTTGTTTCAAGACTTTGTCACCAATAAAATCAGTGATAATATTTTTCCACACTATTGCAGTGTGGACTTTAGAACTAAGATTGATCGAGGCTTTTTTTTTGGTTTTTGTACTAAATATGCCCACCAATTCCAAATGTATTCATTAAGTACTTCATTTCTATCGCAAATTACATTTAATACATGCCAGAGAATCAGATCTATAATTTCTTTATTAATTTCTATTGCTGGTTTAGCCAAGAATCCTAGGAAAAAATTAAAGAAATTTGTAACTGGTTTGGAGGCATTTATGTGATATAGGAGGAAATTGGTATCTTCATAAACTATTAGACCTTTAGTAACCGCTTGGTCTAACAATGATTTTAACTTTACCGATTCACCCCCATATTCGATTATTTTGATCTCAAACTTAGCGAGCTTTAGTTCAGGTCCTATATAAAAATAAAGTCCATTTTCCAAATCTTTATGTTTTAGTATCCAGAATGGGTTTTTCTTTTGAATATATGCGACTGTCGATTGAATTGCTTCATAAACTTTAGTGCAGGAGAATTTCCCACCTGAAGTACACATGCATATTAAATATTATCATACAAAATGACCATTTGGATTTGAAATTCTGGATTGTTCTAATTTTACTAGAGCTAGAAGGTTTTTTTCTCAGCTCAAAGATGGAACACTAGAAGCAAGTTTTATAGAAGGCTTTCTTTTCTTGGGTGGTGTTTCCTAGTCTGCACGGTAGTAATGAAAACTATAGGATTTTTTATTTTGATTAATGTAGTCATTTTCGTTATCATGCTTTCAATCACATAATGAACAATATAATTGGCTATACGTTTAAGATAAAAGATATCAGAGAATGCTTCTAACGAAAATGAGAGGTTAAATCCTTCAATGTTGACCTTCTAGAGCAATTTCTTTATTACTTTGAACTTGAGTTCAAGTTCAGCTTCGGTGGTTTCATTATTTGTATTATTACATCTTTTGACTTCTGGCTCTGGAACTACCAAGAGAGAATTATCTTTGACTTCTGAATCTTTATTTGAAGAGAGAAGCATGAAATCAAAGACAGACCCATTTTGGGGATATATTGCTTTTTTTACCCACACATGTTCTCCAGTTTTTTCAATAAACTTGGGTGATCCAAGCATTCACAAAGAGAAAGAACTTTTATTTGCTATATTATTGATAATACTTTTTCCCTGTAATCCTACTGGAAGTTTTTTACGAACAAGCTCAGTGAATACTGCAACCTTAGAGATATTTGGAAGTCTCATGCCAAAAGTTGAAATATGGTAAGACATTTTCTCCGCATCACTACTACTGGCAATAGATATAGTTTTATGGTCCCAATCTGGAAATATATCTTTACATGTCTTTATAAAGGCAAGTTTAAGTGAATTTTGTATTTTTTACTTGTAAGTTTAGGTTTAATGGTATCATACACATCTCGTGGTAAATCAAAATCTATGATAGGTCAGAGTGGTTCATCTCCATCAATGATTTTATGTAGAGAATGACCTTCACGTTCTGAAAGTATGGCTTCTATTCCATCTACATTATCTGTACTAAGGAATTGCCTCAATCTAACACTATCATCACGAATTTTATATAAACACGAACTTATATCAGAGGCTTTAAACCTACAATAGTACAAGGCGAGGCATTGAGGAACTCTGAAAGCTCGGATTGGATCATAATAAAAATTTTCAGATATGTTATCTAGTATACTGTTCCAGTATAATATCCTAGTAAAAAAGTTTAAAATAAAAATAAATATTATTATAGATATCAAAAGATTAACTGATCAAAGGAAAATAATACCAAAATAGTAGACATCGAATTCACTGAAGATTATATCAGAAAGGAAGGTAGATACATTTACCAGTATCACTCCGGTGAAGGAATAGTTTGTGAGAATGGAAGTACGCGACCAGATAGATGTAGTATTCACTGAAAAGATACCAGAAACATCTGTGTAAACATGATGGGTGTGTAAGATAGACAGCATCAAAATATGGATTTTGTAACATATAGATAAATAAGTGCTATTTGAAAGCATATTATCATCAGAAGAAATTAGATAAGATGCTTCAGAACGGGCAGACACCAGAAGCATTGGAAAAGGCTCTTGATAACTTATTGCAATAAGTGAAGTTATCCCTAGAAAGTTGTCTCTAGAAAAAATGCAGGGGACAACTTCTGGGAATGTTGAAAGTAAACTTTTTGAAATTTTTAGATTTCTGGGAAGACTTCTAAACAGGTGTCCCTAGTGTCCCTAATGTCCCTATGAAAAATCAAAACTTCTAAACTTTTTTTATTTTTGGCATATGTATATTACACATATCATCCATATAGTATCCATATAGTATCCATATACCATCCATATAATATACATATATTAGCATAGGAAAAGTTTTGAAATTTTTCCTACAACTTTATTTTTACTAAGGATACTAGGAACACTAGGAACAAACATAGAAGAATATAATCAATAAGCTTAAAATCCCAAAAAATAATATCATACTTGTCTCTAGTAAGTGTTCTCAGAAAAAATTCCCTAGGGACACTAGGGACAACTCACAAAAAATTGTCTCAATTTATATCCTAATATGTCTGAAAACATATTACCAAAGGCAATATAAATGCACTCTAATGATTCGAACTTATGACACTAGTGACGCTCAAAAATTAGCATACACACTGCCTCAACCCAGTTTAAACCATAATAATACATATTGCACCTCCAACCTCAAACACGAAATTGGCATATATATACTGGCAACAAATAGGTTAGCTATAGTAATGCGTATTATACTTCCAATCTCAGGAAGTGCCATATAATATAAAAACCATTAACTTGGTTAACGATCAAGATAATCGGCATACATATACTGGCAATAAATAGGCAATAATTAGATTGCAAGATGGTACACTTCTGGCAATCAAATGGGCAGGCCATAATAATACAAATCGTATCTTCAACCTTAGATACGAAATCGGCATACATATACCAGCAACAAATAGGCAATAGTTGGATTGCATAATGACGCACTTTTTGGCAATCAAATAGGCTGGCTATAGTAATGTGTATTGCTTCTCACTGGAATCACTATCATATGATTATAGATGCAGATTTACTGCGCCACCTGTCATCTCTTTTTTACACCATTTCAGCGTGATTTTTTGCAACCAATACTGGCTTAGCAACTTGACCACAAAAAGATCACAGAGTAATGAAAACGAACGGATGACTAGAAGGTAATAAAAAGGCTACAGAGTAATGAAAACAAGCGGATAGTAATAAGGTAATAAAAAGGCTACAGAACGCCAAAAACAATAACTAGGTAACATTATACTCATAATTAGATAACATTATAATGCAATTGGATAATACTCTTATAAGAGTATTATCCAGTCAAGTAAAAAAAAAATGCTGTTTTAATAGGTTGAAAATTTTTTTTTCATAAATATAATAAAAAAAAATAATTCTATAGTTTTATAGTTGTGAATAAATAAGAATTGATTTTTTAAAAAACTTTTAAGAAAAATAAAAAATTCTATTCATGTATCTAAAAAACTATGATATAGTTTATATGGGGCCTTTGCAATAGAAAGGGGGGAAACAGCCGGAAAAATCAAAAGTGAGTTAATGCTAAATTTGAACAT